ACTTTGTATGTGCCAGGTGCCAGCCGAGGCGCTGGGGGTGTGAGAGAAAGCAAGTCCCCCTCTCTGCTTCCAGGTGGTGGCGGACCTAGTGTGAGGATGACAAGGAAAGCAGAAAGAGAATGAAGGGACAGGGCTACATGCTAAGGAGCTGGAGGTGAGAGCAGCTGAGTTCTGCTTGGGGGTGCCTGGGATGGTTTCAAAGGACAGGCAACACTGGAACGGGGTCTTACGGAATGAAGAGAAGTTTGTTCAACAGTGCCTCAGCGCGCAACTGTGCACCAGGAAAAAGGTGCAAAGGTGGACGAGAAACGAGTGGCAAACAGTGCCAAAAAGGAGACCTGTGTGTGTGTGTGTGTGTGTGTGTGTGTGTGTGTGTGTGTAGGACATAAAAGGGACAATTCCACTCAAGGAGTTTATATTATACTCTCTCTGAAAAAAAGGTAAACTATTAGAGGAGAAGAATAAATGACTGTATCTGTGTTTTAGAAAAAGCCCTCTTGTGGCACTATGCAAGATGACTGTGAGGGGAAAAACTGTACACAGGCATTACTAGTTGGGAAGGTTAAGGGGAACTTAAATAAGATTACAGTGACAGTGAGAAGGGGACAGAATCTAACAGATTTCAGAATGGAGTCAGCCGCGCCCGGAGATCAATATCTTTTTCAAATATTTTAAAAATCACAATCCACAATAAGAAATACCATCATAACCCAGTATACATGCTTACACACGTCCATGAATATGTGTGTATATGTATGAACGCGCACATGCGCACGCACACCCCCCCTCTCCCCCCGCCCAAAGATTTCACTCAACAGAGCCAGTGCTGTAAGCCCACAGCATGGTCTCGCTCGTTACCCTACACCGGAAAATGAAAGCGGCAAGAGGTATTCTAAGAGAGCAGGTTTGTCCTACACAGAGGTTTCTTTCGCAACTCTATTGATTTTAAGGTTGTCGTTGACTTGAGGCACTTAATGTTCTCTGTGTTACTTAAGCAATGATTTATCGCTTCATGTGCCTTACTGTTCTTTTGTAGCCTTCCTGGTTGATCACACTGCTTGGCTTAATTAGGCATTCATGAGCATATATCACAGCCAGGCTTTCAGCAAAGCTCCTTATCTGGGCTACTGATTTCCACATGGTATTTCTGGAGTCAATCTGCTGCTACTCTTAAAATTAAATGAAAGAGGCTGCCATGTCCAACTGTTACTTCATTTTATAAATTATTTTGTACAATGCCTGAAGCCCTGGAACACGGTTTTTAAAAAAACATTACAAAATGATGTTAATTTTGGTCCTGATGACCCTACCCTGCAGAGTTAGAACCGCCTGGCCTGCTCCTTGTAATAAATACTGCAGGCAAAGGGAAAGTGGGTGATTTCAGCCCTGCACAGACATGCACATGGGCCCTGTTCTGCCATCTCCAACAGGAGTTTCCTGGGAAACTCATTTACAAAGCCCTTTAACATATATTATTTTAATAGCTAACATTTGTTGGGCATTTTATAATGTGCCAGGCACTGTGCTAAACACTAGATATGCATTATCTCACAGAATCTTCAAACCAGACCTATAAATGCTGTTCGTTTTATACAAGACGAAACTGAGGCTCAGAAAATCAGAGCAACCTGCCCAAGGCCACAAAGCACTAAGGAGTGAGCCATGATTCAAACTCAGGTTTGTCTGTCTTCAGGGGCCAAACTCTTCACTGCTGGGTTATATTTCATCTGCTCCTCTAAGTACATCTTTCTGAGGCTTAGCGATGCCAGCTGAATTACTTGCGCATCAGTGAACGAGTGGTAATCATGAGACCTGCACCCAAGCTATCGATGCCAAGTCAGTGCCTCTCCACCACCCTCCGCTGCCCCATAACTTAACACCCCTGAACTGCCCAGTCAGCAGTATTCACAAGCAAACACACAGGAGAAAAAATAAGAGCGAAAAAGCACTTGAGGTCACAGGTACACAGTGAAGCTAAGCTGGCTCTCTCTCTCTCTCTCACTTTACCATTTCAAGTCAGAAGGAAAACAGAGGAAAGAATGCACATTTAGATGTGGCAGGAAAAAAAATGAAACTAAATATTACTTTAGCCTAATTTAAGGCAGCTGTGTCATCTATATGTTAGGAGGCAGAGAAACAGTTCAAATGATAGAAAAGAGGGAGTATAGGCATTAAACAAGAACACATGTTTAAACATTTAAAGACCACATCTTAACATGTGAAAGCTAGTAATAAAAATGGAAATACACGAAATGAAGTTAATATATGTTTCTTTCATAAGAGACTAGAACAAGGCAATGTATGAAGAGAAATCCTTCGTATGGAAGCTCTAGAATACAATCCCTCAGAGTAAGGAAAGAAGCCCCACAAACAGATCCACCGTGGTTATAAATGTGCGCATTTACGTAAGACAATAGATCAATAGCTTAAATCAGTTGCTTTTAAAGTTATTAAAAATCCTTCTCTAAAAACAATTAGGAATAGCAAAGCAGAAGGAAGTCAAGCATGAACACTGAAAAGTATTAACATCCCCAAAATAGGTTTTTGAAAGCAAGTTATGATGAAGCAATTCATCCACATCTTCTCTTCCTCAAAAAGCTAGTATTTCTGCTCTAACTCTGGCCATCTACTTGTTCCTGGCTCTTTGCTTCTTTCTTTGGCAGCCTACTCAATCCATAGGCTTTATGGAGCAGTACATTCAGTGTAATGATAAAAAAAAAACAAAAAACCCTCCTAATTTATTTTTCAACAAATATTTGTAAATGGCATTTTTTTTTTAAAATTTAAACACTGCCATAGACCAGAGTCCCAGTCTGAGAGGCAGCTGAAATGGAACACCACTTCAAAAGCAAAATTCACTATGATGAATGTGCCAAGTGAAATTAGAAATCCACTAATGTTAATTGGATACATTCTAAATGTATTAAACTTCTGAAGATATTTTTATGAACCCTTCGTAATTTCCTATTAACACCCATGCACGGCTGCACTTGGATATACCCACAATTTGACACAATATAGGTTATTATGCTTAATAACTTTCGATCTCAGGGTGACTGCATAGTCTAAAGAGAAAAGCTACAGTGTGAAAACAACTACTTTTGAAAGGAAAGGGAAGTGATATATGAAAATCTTTAAGGGTATAAGTAGAGGAAACATCATTTTGTTTTTTCAAATATAAGAATTACAGAGCTAGATGGTCACCACGAAAACCTAACACACGAAAATTGGAATTTGTCAGCCTATGGAAAATATTAAAAATGTCACGAATGGTTTGCAGATAAGTTCAAGGAGAGTTATCAGTCAATCGATGACATTTCTACAGCGGTCAGTGAGCGTGTCTGGGCCATTCAGGCAGCACCCCCAAGCTGGTAAGACTGATGACACTGAAGACAACCCCGTCCGTTCACACGCGATCTCTTGGCACCTCTGTCTGAAGCAGAACGCGGGGCTTCGCGGAAGAGAGTTCCATGAGCAGCACCAATGGTCTCACAAATCCAACAGCCAGCAGAGCAGAGAGAAAACCCCCACAGGTTTTGCATATATGGATATAAACATAAGGTGCTGACAGAAAAGGAAAGGAGGTCTGATTTCCTGTCGTAAAGCGACAGATGGCTACAGATATACGTGAGTCTCTAAAGTCACGGAGGCTTCATACATGGTTTCAGATAACCTAGAAAGATAGTATCATACAGCCAGGGCATTGTTCTTACTCTAAGGTCACTGATGGATAGGCCTCCGAAATGATAAACAAGTACGCAGCGTTCATTACAACTATGAAAATAAAATGTTATGACATTCCTTAGAGAGACAAGAGCACCTTCACAGCTTCATTCCAGGAAAGCTCAGGTGAGGGCTGGTGTCCGACCACCAAGCAGGGCGGGGAGAGGTATGTTACGGGCTGACGCGGCCACTGGGCCGGCCTTCCAGCTCCAGAGCACCTCCCCTGGGCTCGCCTCCCTCCCCGCCCAGGGGGCGATGGGCCAGCTGCATCACTACTGAGCTTTTCTTCCCATTTCAGACAGATCTGCAGCCTGTTTAGCCTGAGTCTGATGTATGTTTAGTCTTCACAGAGGAGATGCTCAAGGCCAAAGATAACATGCAGTGCCTGTTCCACCTCCCAGAAAAACACCTGTTGGGTGAGGAGGTAGATAACAAAATGCAGTGAGGACTTGCCCTATTGCACAAGATGCAATACGTTTCCAAAGCAAAATGTCTATTTTTGTACATCTGCCCAATAGCAGCTCAATTAAAAACAGGCCCATCAGATTGACACAGTTGCCTTAACTGCTCAGTTCCTGTCACGCTGCAGATAGCAGGAAAGCACTTAACGGCAGCCATAAGGCAATTTTCCAGTAAGACTTATTAATCTTTATACCGTCATCCTCATGCAGCCATCAAAGTAAACTTAATGACAAATCAGTTAAAATAAATTACTTTTAGGAACTTGTAGGGATCAGATAAAAAGCGAACCACATGTGACATCTCTTCAGTCCTCCCCATGACAGCATATAAGTGTCCCCATCTGTGCTGTTTATTCAGTCGCCTGGCTTACGCGCCCCCAGATCCACTCGTGGCCCTTCTCTGTCCCGCGCGGGCCCCAGGAGGCTGACCTCTGGGGGCTGCAGGGCTGTCTGCGCATCAGCTATGACCTTGCTCTCTGGCTTCCAGCGGGGCCCAGTGGCTGGAGGACAGAGGTGTCAGGGCGTCGGCCCCCCAGCCTCCTCAGTGACCCGGCAGCCAGGCGCCCTCGTCCCGCTCCGGCTGCCCACAGCTCTGCTGTCACTGCTTGCTCCCCTCACGCCTTCATGCCCAGTGCTCGCAGCTTCCAGCGCTGCTGATCCGGGTGCTTCACCAGCCCCTGTTGGTTCCTGCAACCCTGTCCACATCTCTGTGAACAAGCCCTTTACCACACTCTCTTCAGTCTAAACACCTGTTGCCGGCCAGGGCCCTGGTGACACACTGCGGGCAGCCGGAGGCTCCAAGCTGGGATTACTCACCCGGACCGTGTGGACCAGATCAGCCGGCAGACACTGCTTCAGCTTCTCGTCACTGCTGGTCCCGTGAAGCACCAGGTCAGGCATGTACGTGGGGCAGTAACCCGCCAGGAGGGAGTGGCCAAAGTTTCTCACGTTCGGGTTGCTGATGCTCTGAGACCTAAAACAATATCGATCCATTAGGATACACACTTAAAAATGGACTCCCTGGCCAGCCGAGTGGCTCAGTTAGTTAAGAACTCACTCAAGAGTGAGAGCTCTGAGCAACAGGGTCGCCGGTTCGATTCCCGGCCTGAGGTGAGTTGCCGATGGCTCAGCTAAAAAAAAAAAAAAAAGGACTCCCTTTTTGTGTCACACTTGGAACAAAAACCCCAACGACACAGGTAAGAAAAATAGATCCTGGGTGGTCCGTTTCACCAAGGCTCTGGTAAGCAGATCACTGGTGTGGGAAAAGGGAAGGAGGTGGAAGAGGAGGCGTCGTTGAGTTGTTGTTTTAAATGGAAGGGAAGGAAAAAAAAACAGTATTTTCATGGCTGGTTACGAGTTCGTACCTCATGTGGAACATCGACCGGGCATCTGTGTCAACAGAGGGAAGAGAGAGCAAGCCCACTGGAGGGCGCTGGCCAGAACTCTGGCTTTAGGAGCTGACACATATGCACAGGGCAGTGCTCACGACAGGGCAACAGGACAGAAGGAGTCTCTGATTACTGCTTCCAGCCATCACAGGCCAAAAAATCGGCCTGATGGAGTGCTAAGGAAGGGGCTGTCTCCCAGCCACCTCCTGCTGCTCCGACCGACCGGCAGGAGAGAAACTGCCCAGCCAGCATCATCCACCGCCTCCGAAGCGGGGCATCTGTGCCAGCCAATGGAGCGTCCATCCAGACGACAAAAAAATTAAACTCCCTGCTCCCACCCCTCCCTCCATGCCCCCCCCGCAGCTTCCCCACAAATGCCACGAAAGTGGCGAAGTCCCCAGTCGCCTTCTTGCTCAGATGCGCTCAGCCAGCAGTCGTCCTTGGAGAAAGGGCAGGCTGCAAACCGTTTGTATTGGTTTGATAACACTTCTAATACTTAAGAAAAAAAACCCACATTGTGTGTAAAACAGCCAGCAGTAGCCGACCTGTCATGGCTGTGAGGTCGGGTTAGTTCCCTCTGCCTCCCGGCTGGCCAGTGTTACCTTGGCAGAGGCAGCTCCACCTCCAAGGACCCGTCAGGCAGGTCACTGCAGTGACCTGGATTCAGCGATGCTGAAGCACACGCTTCGTCATCACTGTCCCCAAGAGCGCTGTCAGAACTTTCATTTCTGGGAATGTCTCCTTCAATCCTGAAGTCGTCCTTCCCGCCGGCATCCCCACAGGGGACATCTGTGGAGGCCGACACACCAGAGGCCTGCCGCACACACCTGCCGGGGGCAGGCTCCAGCGGAGGTCCTTCCTCAGCCTTTGAATGCGAACCTCCGGTTTTCTCCACCGTTCTCTGTCCAGTCCCTGCCGCATGGGCATCAGGTCCGAGCAAGTCAGGGGGTTGGCAGAGCTGCCCGGCAGCATCTGCTGCACCCTGGGTTCTGAGGCCTCTGTCCTCGGCGTGACTCCGGTCAAATTCACCTTCATCCCCCTCGGATGATTGGTTCTGAGGATGGCAGACATTCTTTTGGAAGCCAGGTAGGAAGGAACACCTAGAAACCTGCTGGTCCTGAGCCATGTCAGCGGCCACCCTGGGCTCAACCAAGGGACAACTGCCCGACTCTCGATATTGTCTATAGGCTGTTAGCTGCTGCTCCATTTTTTGGGTGCGGCTTTCAAAGTCAGACTCTGGAGACGCGGAGCTTCCAATCTGGAAAGTGACCTTCTCTAAGGGAGGCTTCTCCTGGGAATGTCTGTCAGGGCAAGGCCAGGCTGCGGACCGGTCTGGTGGCTTCGTAGGCATCTCCCCTTTCGGCTCCTCACTCATCTCCTGTCCTGCCCCCAAACGTTCACAGCTGGTGAGCCTGGAACAGCCATCTTGTGGCAGCTCTTTTTTATTTTCTTCCTCCCCACAAAATGTGTCCTGAGGTTTCCGAGAGCTGTCCAGTGCTGGCTCCTGGTATCCCAGGCTGCAGGCCACAGAGGTCTTGTTTCCCTCTTGGTCAGGTTTGGAACATGGGTCTCTAACATCGGCACCCTCCCAGGTCCCAGCCAGCGCCTCGGGAGCAGGGCTCCTTTCCACAGCTGTTGCTGTCGGGGGCAGCCCTGGGGGGAGGAGAGCAGGCTCACTTCTCATGGTGACCACCACGTACTCCGACTCCTCCACCTCTCCCCGCTCCAAGGCGGTCGTGATGCTGCCCCCGTTTAGCACCTGGTCGCCTTCTCCGTGGCTCCCGCTCCAGGTCAGCTGGTTCTCTTGCAGCTCGGAGCAACGGAGAAAGTAGGTCAGGACATAAAGTATGCGCTGGACCAAATCCTTCTGCTTTCCCACAACCACGGTGCGCGTCAGCCTCACGGGGGAGCCGATGGCGCCGTAGAGGTCACCTACAGAGCAAAGCGGAAACAAAGACAAAGCCATCTGGGGTGAGCATGTCTTGGAATGTCAGCCTTTACAAGAGAAAAACAGATGACTTCTACTCCCAAACTAGAATCGCTTCTTCAAAGTGGTAATTCCTGGGAATGGCTGTGTTTTAGTTTTGCCTCTATAGTGGACAGTTTGCCTGGAAAGGCCTGGCCAGGCTTTGGCCTGCTGTTCTCGGAGCAGGGGACAGCGCTGGTGTACACACTGGGGACTGTGCTTGTGAGGTCTTCCCACGAAACTCACTGGCCGGCCAACTGCTCCCTCCCCGCAAGGAAAGCTAAAACCAGAGCCCTGAATATGTGATCCAATCAAACAAAAAAATTTATCTCGGAAACTAGAACGATGAGAGTTTTTTAGAAGAACCCTTTGACATTAGGCCTTGGGGTGAAATCCAAATTCAGGGATCTCTGAACCAAAGTACAGTGAATCAGTTCAAAATACTTAATGAAATGGCCTGCTCAGAATCACACACACACATACACACACACACACACACACACACACACCAAGTAGAGCCAATTTAATTAACAAGAAGAAAATCACTTAGTCATGAATATGATTCTGAATATGAATGAATCTGAATAGTCCTATTACTTGAGTATTTCTATTACTTTACATGAAAATTCTACTGGAAAAAATGTCACATAAGTTATAGCCTGATAAGTTGATTAAAAACTGGCTGATGAACCACGATCGTTCGGCTTAAAGGTGGAAGAAGGGCAAATGTGCCAGCAAACCCAGCAGTACAAGCTTTCCATGAAAAGTATTGGTCAAGTGCCCATTAGAATTATTGCATTTGATGATCTATTACATTTGATAAGTTACGTATTTGATACTTTGATGATAATAATGACAATTACAACAAAAAGCCAACATTTACAGATTGTGCAGGCACAGCGCTAAGTGTTTTACATGGATTTTTCACATTTACAACCAACCCTGAGTCAAAAACCATTACGGAAATAAACAAAATGTTGGAATAAATCAAAACTTGAAAAGATACTAACTAGAAGAGACACATGGTAATAGTTGTAAATAAGGACTCAGGAAGTTAGAACCTATCTGAGGAATGCAACTAGAGAGAGGAGGGAAGGCATTAATAAGGGCGTGTAGTAGATAAAACTAATGAAATTGGCAGATTAGGACTAAGGAAAAAGTTATGGAACCATCAGAGAGTACCTCCTCTGGAGAGTGCTCCCCAGTGTGAGGCATCCAAGAAGGTTTCAAGTGCAGGAGAGACATGATATCAAACACTCCTCTCTATAAAAAAGACTAGATTACAAGCTAATAGGGCTTTATCTCTGAGGCTTTGCAACTACGAAATCATCCGAGAAACTCAGAATTGTAGTCTGATGCTAGGACAAGTAGTTCTGTTTGAGAAAACTTTCTTGACTAAGAACTTATTACTGTGACTTCCCTGTGATTACATCTACCCATTGCTGCAGGGTGTCACAGTCATGTCAGGAATTCATGGGACACTTTTGTTAAATCAGTCTCAATGTTAATAAAAATAAGCATTACATTTCTGAAATCTAGCATGAAGTAACCAAAGAAGAAAGGGCCACTCAGAATGACAGTGTTATTTTTTAGCAATGCATTTTGGTATTGTACATTTTAATAACTAAGGCATAAATGGAAAAAAGTAATACAAAGGGAGGCAATTAAAATACAATCTATAATAATTTAAACTCTATAGAGTAATGAGCAGTGTGTGTGGAAACAATGCCTTTAGGGTCAAACTTCATAAAATAATGCATCATTAAAATAAGAGACCTGTAATCGTAAAGATTTACTGGAACTTGAACTTGAAGGCAAATTTTTGAGTCCCAGATTGATGAAGTTACTAATTTTAGAGTAGATTCTTTTGTTCTCAGGAGTATAATTTTACAAAGTGAAAGCGGGTTGCACAACAATGTGAACAGACTTTACTGAACACTGAAAAATGGTTAAGGTGATGAATGTTACGTCTCGTGCTTTTTTTAAACCACAATTTAAAATACAAGCTTTAAAGATGGGAGGTGCAAAATGGTAGAGAACCAGGGAGAAGCACAAAGAGGGGAGGAAAGGTGAGGAAAGCAGTGAGGAAAACAGGAACCATGAAAGAAAGAAGATATTGGGGAAACAGTGAAAAGATTGAACAGAAACTAGAAAGAGGAAAAGGGGGCGGGCGGGCTGGCCGAGTGGCTCAGTTGATTAAGAGCTCGCTCAAAGGTTTGAGCTCTGAGCAACAGCGGTTCGAGTCCCAGCCTGAGCTGAGCAGCCGCTGAGCTGCCAACAGGTGGCAGGATGGCTCAGCTAAAAAAAAAGAAAAGGGGCTAGAGAATGTGGCAAGCTGAGAGAATTCAGGATCATTGTAAAGAGGGATGGTAAAGTGAGAGAGTGAGAGAGGTGGGGGCTATGGAGATGGAGAAACAAAGGCAGACAGAGGGAGAAACTGAGAGAAAATTAAAAAGGAGGCAAGGAGGGATACTCAGCATCTTAAAGGACCACTATTCATTGATTCCATTCTACTAAGTATGTATATGCTATGAAGGACTCTTCACACAGTGCTGTCCTGATCCTATACATTGTAATTTACTGTATCTTTATCATCATTAATTCAAACTAGTTGTAATGTCTCTTGTGAAGTATTGTTTAGCTTGTGGGTTATCTAAATTGGGGTTTAATTTCTCAGCAGGTGGGAATTTTCTCCTTATCATCTACTTTATTGATTTGTAGTCTAATTCCATTGCATTCTGAAAAATATCATTTAAACTTTTGGAGGAAATAAAATGAAGACATTTCAGACTCTTTTACTTATGTTAATTTGAACCAATGATCCTAAATGTTTGTTTGTTTTTTTGAGGAGAAAAGCTACTTCTCATTTCCACAAATCCTTGAGGTCATTAGCGTCAAAAAGAAACCCACATGGAACTCCTTCAATCAGTGGCGGAAGATGGTGGCTTTCAAACTTCACATACCCATCCCAAGAAAGAAATAATTTTTAGACTGCAGCCTCACACTCCCTTTGAAACAAACATTTTACACAACATGTATGTGTTACTCTGGTATTGTCTAATGTATTGTACCTTTTAAATGCCTCTTTTGACCCATGAAACATGGCTTCTGTAACCCACTCGTGTGGTTATCCACACTTGGGAAAACCTGTATGTAGACAGCATGTGTCAGGCAGAGGTGGTGATGGCTGAACTCCTGAAAGCAGGCCAGGGAGAGCGTGAAAGGGCTTGCTGCTTCCAGCTTCTCTCCTTTCTCTGGATGCTGAGAAACCAGGCAGGAGTGGTACCTGTCCTGGCAAGCTCTCAGATGTGCCTTTAAAATAATTCAGGATAGAATCTTTCCTATTATTTAGGAACCTGGATTAAAATTACATCTGCATCACAGTATATATATTCCTAGCACTTTATATTTTCCTGTTTACTGAGACCTGGTAAATAGTTAATGGAAACGTAAGAGTAATTGGAAATAAGCATCTTCCCCTGTCAAATTATTGAAGCCCTTCAATGTCTTGTAATAATGGAAACTCTACGATCACTTACACTTGGCCTTACAAAGTTATACGACTCTACCAGGCCTCATCCCCTCCTCACACCGCTCCTGTCAACAGCAGACACTGCTGAATTGCTTAGGGGAGGGGAGGATGGGAGACTCAATAACACCCGATCTCCTTTGAAAAGGGACTGTGAATCCACAGGAAGGGACTCTGCCTTGTTATGCTGAACACAGGGAATTAAGGGCTCTCAATTTGTTCAATTTCCAACGAGAAGCATGTCTAATTATAAATACATTTATATAATTAAATGCACAGTGCTCAATTAGCATTGTTTTTAAGTGGGTGACACGACAGTGTGAGACACCATGTTTCCTTAATATCCAGCCCCCTTACCTTCACCACCTAATTGATCTACCTTTCTTTGAGACTATTGTTCCATAACAAGAACAAGAATGCAGGCACGCTGTGTTCTTTCCTGAGCTCAGTACTGATGGGATTGGATTGAATCCACTTTAACATCCCTAAATTCTTTATTAATTCATTTAACATGTACCTATTGTCTCCCTAACAGTGAGAAAGGTATTCCCTTCCTTACACATCTCATGGCCCTGGGCACGGGGCAAGGCATCTTTATTATCTGTAAAATGAGGGCAGTTGTAAGAGGCTTTGGAAAGAGAACCTAATTAATAACATGTGAAAAGCACTTAAAACAGGGCTTGGCTCACAGTGACGGCTTTCATTATTGTTATCATAACATGCCATTTTCTAAGATTAGAGTGCGTGCTTTACCCAGTCTGTAATTCTTTTTCTGGAAAGCGCCGTTTTAACACTGCCTCAAGTATGCCTTCCTTGGAAAGCCCCTCCATGACCCTCACTCCACCTCTCAGTGCCCCTCCAATATTAATATTCTCACTAACAGCATCTGAAACAAAGGTGCATCATGTATAACTGATTTAATTCCCACTGCAACCTGAACTATTTTCACCCCATTACACAGACAAGGAAACTGAGGCACAGAGGCTAAGTCACGTGCCCATGGAGACTGGGTTTGACCTAGGCCATCTGGCTCTGGCGCCCATGCGCTTAGCCTACACCATACAGTCTCTCGCATCCTTTTTGCACCCCCGTCAAAGGCGGAATCAGGGCATCCTGACATCTGAACACTAATCTGCCTCCTCCATTAGGCAACCAGCTTTCTGAGGCAACAGAGCGCGTGTTATTCAACTCCATATCCCTGGTGTTTAACACAGGGTCTGGGACAGCGAGGGTGCAAATTCCAATTTGTCACTTCAAAAGTTTGATGAGTGAGAGGTCCTAGGGGTCCTCTCCTCCACATGAACCCAAATATGCAAAACTGCTCTCTCAGTCCCAACTCTGTCCTCAGCACTGCCAGAGCACTGGCGTCCTGTGCCACGCTGCAGGAGGAAGCTTTGAGGAAATACAGGCCACCAGCTAACTGCAAGGAAGCAGTGTTGGGAAAGATAAGGTTTCTGACTTAGGCTAAAATTAAAAGGGTGGTGAAATGATAGTGTGTGGCTTTCTTTTCTGGCTTATTTTTCTCCTGTCCAGTCCATCTTCTTGGGCACTGGCTCTCAGCCAGAAGGTGTCTTGTTCCCCAGTGGACACTCGGCAGTGTCTGGAGAAATTTTTGATTGTCATAACTTCGGAGGGGGGTTCTCACTGGCAGCTTGTGAACAGAGGCCAGTGATGCTGCTAAACATCCTACAACACACAAGACAACTCCCCCACCCCCACCCAACCAAGAATGGTCTGATCTGAATGCTGACGCTAGGAGACCCTGCTCCAGGGTGAACTGCTGCGTGGGGCAGGAGAACACCACTTACCTACACAGAGTTAAAAGGAGAACAAAGCAGGGGACAGGAAAGGGAGGTGGTGGCGGCCTTACAGTGAGAATCTGTGCGCCAGTCTCCTTTTCCCTGCATTACCGGGTTGGATAGTTAAGATCACCTAAAAATTCTAGCCTTTTCCTATTCCATCCCATACAGTCTCAGACCAGTCAGAGCAGGTACTAACCCAGCTGCGCCCAGAGCGGGTTATACGGATGCGTTTTGGCCAGCGTGTTCACTGACTGAGAGGTGCGTTTCTCTGAGAAGGCTCGAATGGGCGGGTGATCAACAGGCATGACCGTCGGTACCCAGGCCAGGTGGTAGGTTAGCACTGCAGTCAGTAAGGCAGCAAAAAACCTGAGAGAAATGGAAGAAAATACAACCAGGTAAGTTAACACAGGAAGAGGCAGGACGTAGACAGAACATACACTGGCCGCGGAGTTTGCATACAAGGCTCCGGAGAGTGGAAACTTACTGGTTTTTGTTGATCTGTTCTATCAGAAGAGTAAACTCCTTGAGAAAGCGCTGGCAGAGCTGGGTTTTTTCCAAAGTGCTGGACATCATGGTAAGCCACACGGGTTCCGCTATCCTCGGAACAGAATATAAGTTCCAGATAGTCCCTCTATGGAAAAGAGAAGGGATGCACGAAACTGTCACAAACATTATTTTGGATAATCTTTACATAAAGGAGTAAGACGATAATAATCTGGATATATGTTGAACTCAAGGGATTCAAGGCAGAATATAAAACAGGGGCCAGAAAACTATGACCCACAGGCCAAACCTGACTGCCACCTTTTCTGTAAAACTTTATTGGCATACAGCTACGCTCAGTTGCTTACATATTATCTGTGGCTGCTTTTTCACAATGGTAAAATCGAGTGGCTATGACCAAGACCCTTTTACAGAAAAGGTATACCAACCCTTGATATAAAATATTCATTTCTAAAACAATTTTCACAATGCTTTCTGTCAGAATTTATGCCCACTGTTATGGTAAATAAATAAAGGAAGAGATAAAGTACATGCTATATTAAAAATGTGAAGGGGCAACACAATTCTCCTAATTTCTAGTCAGTCGTTATTTATTCAAAGCACCCTAATTCATTTTTGGTGAAAAAAGTACATAAATGGCTCTTCTTCACTACACTATGTATGTGCTGAGTTTTTATAGGGACTAACAGAATCAAATTCGTAAAATTGCAAGCTATTAGAGAAACGGACTAGTCCCATTCTATCACTTTACCGATCAAGAAGACGAAGCCTAGAGCAGCTGTGTTACTTGCGTAAGGCATAGAAATACTGAACGACAAGGTCAGGGTGAGAACGCAGCTCTCCCGACGCCTGGTGCCAAGGGCTCCCCTCCAAGCTCTATGGCTCACAAGTGTTTTTCCAAAGAGCACACAAACAGAGCTTAGGCTCTCCACTGGTATTTCTGAATTTAAAACGCATCTACTCTTCCCAACTGAAGACAGATGGACATATTCTGACTTGATTTTCCAGCTGTGTGCACGAAATAATTGAGACATAGTGGAATTCCACCTTATTGAAAAGTAGAGCATTTGCTGAGTTAGGTAGCAATGACAAGGATGGCCACATGGAACTGGGGTCCACTGGCGAAACCTAAGGTCTCCGAACACTAACACTTTGTCACCATATCTGGAGGGCGGGCTGCTGAAGTGAGAACAAGACCTCCCTACATACACAGTGAGTGAGGCTTTCTGGTTCTGTACCTTGGGATTCCTGACCTCTGAGAAACTGGCTCTAAAATGATGCAACAATCCCAGCTCAGCAGTGAAAGAGAATCCCACCTGCTACCCAAAGCAGGTTGCCCAGACGTTTGGGGCAAGGACTCTAGAAAACCGGAGTCCAGAATACAAAGATCATCAACTAGAAACTAACAATGAAGGCACACTAGGTCACCCTATATAAGGTCCAGGCCAGGACACTTACAGAGGATGCTGAGCATAAACCAGGACTGTCCTGGCAAACGGGAACGTCTCTCTCTGACAGACATACTCTCTCCATCTACAGGCTCTGGACAAGCATCCTGGGGTAATAGTGCTTACTCTCAGAGCCTTTGTGAGGATGACATGAAACAATGAACAGATATCTGAATATTAGTTTTCTCCATTCACCCTGCTAAAAACAATCACGTCAAGGACCATCTGTCAGGCAGTAGTGAGGATTACTTAGTACTGGGTGACTTAAGTTTTTTGCTTCTTTGGTTTTAGTTTCCATCTTGAAGGAAGGGGCTGCTAAAGTAAAACTGCCAGCCCCGTAATTCTTCCAACTCATGGTCACTATGTGTCCCTTGATCCATGGCTGCCACGGCTACTGCTGCTCATAAATTTCTCCTGTTGGATCTGACAAACGCTGTGAATGTACCTGAATTCTCCCAGAGCTTCCATCAGACGGCTGACATAAAACTGGACGCGGTGATTTGATTCTGCTATCTTCCTACAGGAGATCATGGCCTTCATCGAAGAGAAACGAGCCAAATTACTCTCTGAGAAGAAACTGCTGTATAATTATCTACTGGGCTTTATTAGT